TGAACATTTCTTTTTAGGTGTAGAAAGGGGGTTGAGAGAAGCAGAAACTTAAGCTTTTTTTTCATTCCTATTTTTCTTTCCCTCTCAAGGACTCAAGTCAAACTCTAAGTATCTAAAGGACTTTTGTGCTTCAGAGCATGATTGCTGAAGGATGGAAGGAATACCACAGCCATCAGAGAGTCCCTGTGTAAAACTGTGATTCCCTTTCAAGACCTCTATTCAAGGTCCCTGTGTAGCTTAGACACAGCCACACTGCCCCCAAGATGTGGCTTTGACCCCCATGAGCCACCAGCATCCGTTGTCACTCCCCCTCACTCATCTGGTTTCATTTCCTGAGGTTTCTGATTTCCTGAGTGAGGGAAGGAAATATTCCGAAAGGAGGTGGCAGTCTGAAGGAGGAGGCTGCATGGAGAATGGGAGGGAGGGGTCACTTATCATAAATAAAAAGGTCTCCACTTTGCCAGTGTAGAGTGTAGGAACATTGGGAGAAGAGAACCTGCTGTATCAGAAAAAACCTATATAACAGAGGACAGCCCAGATCATTATATTACAGTGAGTATGCAGGAGACTTATTAATACCTGTGCACCAGTTAACTGCAAATGCAATAGCAAAAAAGAAAGAAAAAGATGGATATATTAGCATATTGTGGTTATGAATCATTTCAACATGCTAAGTTCCAAAGGTCTGCCCTTTTGCTCTTATAAAATGCAGGATTGTTAGTGAAGGTATGTGCTGGAATTAATACTAGAAATCTTGGTTTATAATTGTAATAGGAGAGAAAATGTTATGAAATGGCCAGGACTGAGAGTGGATCTGAGTGTTTTAAATGTGTACAGTAGTATGTGATACCTGTGATTTCACAACTTTTCATTTTCAAATAAAATTACTTAGGTTTCATTTGAGCCTCAGAATTGGATGATATACTGCTTAGAATTGGGATAAGGGACATGTGGCTCTAATACTGTGGCTGAACTACAATTCCCAGCATCCCTTAATAATGGGCATGCTGAGTAGGTTGGATGAGAATTCTAATTCAGCAGCAGTTGGAAGGTAAATGGCATAACTTGCTTGAAATTAAAATGGTTTAATATTAGCACATAAGCATTAGGGTTTCTTCACTTTTTAAAGAAGAACGTAGAGCTTAGTTTGCATTAAAACATTGCAGGATATTCCATATTTCTCAAATGAGCTTTTTTTCTCCCATTTTAGCAACATAGCAAGCTGCCTATAATTAGCCAGGTAATTTTAGTAAACACTATTAACATTTACTTTCCATTAATTCTGAGTCAAACTTGAAAATAGCATCATTTTTTGGCAAATTTTGTAAATAATAATTGTAAACCAGAACCAGTAACGATCCCAAAGCTTTGCTTATCCAAGTCAATAAAAGTGGTGATACAGTACCATGTGGATCAAAATCAGATTTTTCTCTGAAAATTTATCCTGCTTTACCAAACTTTACATTATTTGCCTTGGAACGTCTTAGGCATATTGTGAGAAAGATGTTTAAAATAAAAATATGGTGTTTAAAAGTCCATCCATATTTCTATAAGTTTCAGCAATTAGCACGATGATAGATAAAGGAAACTGAGAGGAAGAAAAGATCAGGTAAACCATGGATGGTGGTGTGGTGAGCCACCATTTCCCCTCTAAGCATATCCTAGTAGCTTCCTCTGAAAGCAAAGATCTGAATAATTCTTCTGTTTCAAAAAACTCTCGCCACTGTTTCTCTGAGCCTGCTAGTCCTCTCCCATTCAAAACTCTGTTTTCCTCTGTTCTTTCACTATTACTTTCACTCCAGTCATTTTTCTTGGCAGGAGGGCAGGAGAAGTCCACAAAGATGCCAGGCTAACTGTGATATACAGTCAGCTCATAAAATCCACATAGGTAATGTGGAATATAAACAAGTCCTTACCAAGGCAAGAATATTTTAAAGGATATTTTTGCTGTTTTAATCTCAGAGATGCTGGGCTACAAGGAGTGGAAGGGAAAATGGTGCAGAAGATTGGAGGACTGCAGAATGTCATGGGCTAGTGGCCACCATGATTATGCTGGTTGGTCGCCTCAGTTGCTTAGAACAAGCAGTTATAAGTGGTTTGAAAATTTTATTAGTTTGGGGGTTATAGAGAAAGATAAGAGATATTCCTCTATTCTTATTTTTTAGGAATTTTGGATGTAACATAATGTATTTTACCCAGTATCCCTGATACTGGGATTCTATACACCTTTCCTCTTACACACATCCATTAATCACTAGGGGGGGAATGGCCTTGAAGAAATGTCATTCTGGAAAAAAACATATTGCATATGGACATGTTATATTCTGTGTATATGCACATATCCATGTTTTATACACATAGATATAGTTTAAAGCCTTCACTGCCACTGACTTTGAAAACTCTGAGAATACTTTCTAGCTAACCAGGCCATTGACCTGTTGATTGATTTGTTTGTTCATTTATTTTACAGCATTCTAGGCTGCCCCACTCCCAACAGACTCTGGGTAGTGAATGCCCAGCCCATCTCCATTCGTGGTTTTATTTCATGTTGTGTACATTTGTCCAATGATTTCTTTAAAAAACCCACAGAGTGGTGATTATAGAGAAGTGGCTGCCAAGGCCCTTTTATTGCTTTTTAAAGAGCTGTGAAATAAAAGTGTCTTGGCAAAATGCTACAGCAGACGATCCTTTGTGGGAAGAGGGTTGCACTAAGCCCAGAAGCCAGGATGATGTGAGAATTCTCACAAATAGGAAACTGAAAATACCAAAGACCTGGGTGGAAGTGACCTTAGTATAACAACATGACTGAAACCTGGTTGAGACATTCATTATTAATATGATGGAGATGTGATGATGCCAAATTCACTTTCTTGATGTGGAAACTGCACTTGTGATAGTTCTGATGTGCTATGACTCTGGCATGTCACCTTCTACAAAACCATTAAGATTTTGGTTAGGCAAGGGGTTAAGAAACTAGGATTTAGGAGGAAAAAGTGGGAATTGATGCCAAGAATCAAGATTTAGCAAATAGTTAAATATAATTTGATTGTGCTTATTGCAGAAATCTGCATGGCGCATAATTGGCCACATTCTTATAGCATGGTAAGCCACTGGCTTCTCCTTCCAAACAGAGCAGTTAAAGAAATCATAGGATTCCCTACATAATTTATTTACTATGAAGTGCAGACTGGGATCCTGATTTCTTTCTTTGAAATAATCCAGGACTCTGAAGGCAAGAACAAACTTTGATGTCTAACTCTGCTTTTTAAAAAGGGAACCAGTCAGAGATCCTGGTTCATAAACCACAATAGCATGGTAAACAAAAGAAAGAGCTTCTATGGCTTACATAGTAATTCTGCTTAGCCAAGATCTCTGGTGCTAAACCCTTCTCTCTGTAGCATAATCCACATCTTCCCTAGCAGTCTGTTTGCTTCTATACACACACAATTTTCAGCACTGCGCACTTCACCAACGTCTCTCCTCCCCAAATTTCCTCTCTCATTTCTCTTGCCACCTCTTCTTTCCCATTACTTTTATTTTCTTTTGTTCCTTTAATTATTAAAAGAGTTTGGATGTATAGTAGAGCAAAGCTTTATTGCTACAAAGGACTGTGGGGGGAAAAGAGTAGGACTTCTGAATGGTATGCTGAACCTGCAACCCCTCTGAGTTATGGGGCCCCCCTGGACCTGTGATGGTTTGGCTCCTGTGGAATCACTGATGTTTAGGATGAGAAAGAGGCTAAGATAAATGTTTGCACTTTAATCAGAAAACGAAAAAAGGGAAGGGTTTTGTGCCCTTAAGTGAACTTTCCTTGTTACATAAAGAAGATCCTCTCCCTGCACTTTTATTCTGAACATGAGCTGGGCAGTTACATGAACAATAAATATGGCTGCTTTCGTGATATTTAGATTGGCTGTCCGAGAAATAGTAAAACTGTGTTTGGGCTGAAGTTCAGACTAAAGTGGAAAGTCACATCCTTGACTGACTTTCCATACAAAAAAACAAAACCAAACCCCCTCAGAACAGAAAACAAATCTGTTAGACAGAACATTGCAGTAGAACCCTTTTTCCTGGCGTCTAGTTTTCTGAGAGAGGGAACTCTTTCTCTGAGTCTCCACCCTGCCAGTAGTTCTATAGGGCAGATATCAGCTTATCAGCTTGGTGAGTAGATAACAGTACAAAGTAGAAGACACAGGACTTTTTAAATTCATTTTGGGAACAACCAGGAATTAAGTTATTATTACATAAAAATAAAAGGGTTGGGGTAGTACCAGCTTCCAATCTGCTCAGGAAATTAACTGAGCCTACTGTTAATCAGTTGTTGGTGTTCATCAGTGTTTTTCTTGTGCCAAATCCAGAGCCCCTGTGTGCACAAGCCTTACAATCATAACAAGTGCTTCAGTTGGTTGGGGATTTGGGGAACTGTAATCCAACACTTCTGGAGGAGGTCAACTGGGGAAGACAGTTATTGACGGAATATGGCAAGGACAGGAAAATCAGCAATGCACAATAGTTTCTTGATGTAGGGCTACATTTGGTGTTTAAATGACATGTTGAAGGAAGCACTCCAAAAAGTAGCAAGTGGGACCAGGATCAAAATCTAAACTTGATTTGATCTACATTTACACTGAAATGTATTAAATATAAGTTATATGGCTATTCTTCAGCCATGTATTTAATAATGTTCAGCTTCTGTAACATTACACATTATAATGTGGTAACAACCTTGAGGGGAGGGATTTCTGTGTGGACTGCTTTCAAGGTTTTCACAGGATAGACAAGGCCTTGGAGCCTTACATTGTGCCCTTCTTTTGGAGAAGCCTAATCCTGTCCCCATGGGCATTGGTTAAGTTCTGGAATTCTACCCCATAGTCCAGCATTTTTGAACACACAGGGTTAATAGCTCACCTTCCTTTGAAATGTGAAGTCCTCCCTCTACAGAAAGGGCGGGAAAGAAAAGAAGCCCACTCCCACCAGAGGCTGATTATACCCTCTACGAGGATATTTTATAACAGTTTTTGAGAGACCAAGTGTCAGGCACGCCATTCACCTGACTCTTGCTTTCCTGCTGCTGACATACATACATACATACATACATACATACATACATATTTAATTGCTAAATTTTGCAGCTTGCTTGGACTTTTGGGCCAGAGTAAGGCAAGTGCAGAAAACAAGAGGAAGACGTGAAAATGCGGACCCTCATCATTCTTGCACTCCTGGCTGTTCTCATGGTGACAGGTTTCTGCTATGGTAAGTGATGTCTTTTAGTAGTGATTATTGGGGGCTGAGGCAGCAATAGTCTAATCATAGAAAGCTGATATCCTGGTCACATTCTTGTATAGTTTTATTCTTCCTCCATGGCCACTTATCTCTGTATCATATCTTCCTTTCTTAGTACCCTTTTTCCAATACTCCAGGCTAGATTCTTCCTGTCCAGTCTTCAGTTGGAGCTGTCTGTCCCTTTAACACAACCATTTCATTCTGTTCTTATTCCCTAGTAATCCCATGTGTTTTCAGCTAAGTTAAATGTTTTACCAAGAGGCAATGCAATTTATAAACAAACCGCATGCTTAGAAAATTACAGGATGCAAATTGCAGAAAATGCATATATTTTCTTGATTAGGGTTGTTGAGTTTCAGCTGTGATGAAAAGAGTCCTAGATTCAGTTTGGAGAGACTGATAAATGTATTCTGGTGGCTCATTGTACAATAAAAACTTTTCCTGCAGAGATATTCCAAATGCTTCCTTCCGAAGCTTTAGAGATGGCCAGAATATCTAATGAATAGAGATATTCATTAGACAAGGTATTCTTTCACTTGTGGGCTCCACTTAGCTGCAGTGTCTAAAGAGGCACAAGTTCCTTTGAATGGTCTAGAGTTACCTTCCTAAAATAATCTTTGCTCTGATGCTCTTTTATTGCTAACATAGCAGCTTCTCCCTTCATCTTCTCTTCCTGTGGCACAAGGATAATATGATCTAGCCTGATATGACATAAAATGCTATAAAATGGTCAAGCTGTGAGTAATAAATGGGATGTGATTGATTTCACTGTGGGCTACATTACCTTTTTTGGTGTCTTTCATGCCTACAACTCTTTGATGCTTTATTAATGCTGGACAAGTTTTTATAAATTTGCCTAATCTAGAAATAACAGTACTCGATTTGTGTTATCATGATATATTTATTCTTGGAACGATGATGCATTTTGTAAAAATAATGTAATAGCTAAAACATTTTGCCACTCTGGACTGTCTGAATAAAGATACTGTAACCTTTTGCAAGTTTAAGAGGAAAAAATGTAATTGCATATGTTTAGGAATCACAAAATAAGAGCTAGCCTTTCAGGCCCTGTTGGCGTCAGTAGGTAAATTAAAGCATGACTTTACTTTTTCAGTGGACTTTATGTTATGCTAGTGTGCTATAATTATGGGTCAAATTCAGAAGTTCTTATGATTCCAGTATCATGTCAAAATTACACAGTACCGTACTCTTTATCAATCCATTTGATTGATAAATTAATTTTATCTGTATTTACAGTATTACAATATTCACTAGTATAAATAGATTTTTAAAAAAATAGCTGCTTCCACAAAGTGGCTGCGTCTATTAATTGCACAAAGCTGGGAATGAGACTTCTGTATCAACTAACCAGAGAAGGTATCTTAATTAGACATCTTTAGAAGCAGATGTGGGGACTAAACAGATTTTTGGTCTGGTTCAGAACCTGGTTTTATATGTGGCTGCGTCTATTAATTGCACAAAGCTGGGAATGAGACTTCTGTATCAACTAACCAGAGAAGGTATCTTAATTAGACATCTTTAGAAGCAGATGTGGGGACTAAACAGATTTTTGGTCTGGTTCAGAACCTGGTTTTATATGTGGCTGCGTCTATTAATTGCACAAAGCTGGGAATGAGACTTCTGTATCAACTAACCAGAGAAGGTATCTTAATTAGACATCTTTAGAAGCAGATGTGGGGACTAAACAGATTTTTGGTCTGGTTCAGAACCTGGTTTTATATGTTTACATTCTTATAGTACCATAATTTTATAAGCCATTTTCACTTTTTTTTCTTACAGAGTCTCATGAGAGCATTGAATCACATGAATTTACAAGTAAGAAATGATGGTATATATTATCTGACTTAGTGGTTCCTGAAATGCTTGGCTTTTGCAGGGAATCCCAAATGATCTCCCAATGCCACTTTAAAAAGTCCAGGTTTTTTTCTGAACATCTTCCCCAGCCAACTCAAGGCATACAAAAAATGTACCTTTTCACCGTAACTTTAGTCTGTCCAAATAGCCCATTCAGATTCCCTCATGCTTTTTTCCATTTGGGCACAACTGTTCTCTTATCATCCAGGCTTGTGATACTCTCAGGGAGCCAAGTGGTTGCAAAGTAACATCACTAACCATTGACGTTAGAGAACAAGCTAAGAATAGCATCTGTCATAGAAAGGGTGCTAAGAAATAAAATAAAGGAAATCCTTTTTTCCAGTCCACACAGTCAAAGCCAAGCCTGGCATATTATCCACAATGGGAAAACCAAGAGGCCCTCACTGCTTATCCAGTTTTTTTGCCTGAAAGAAGCCCTATTTGAAAGCTGCCCTATTAGTGCAGAAAAGAACAGCCACAGTCCTCCCAGGACTGTGTACAGTGGACTTCCTTTCAAGGAAGCATTTTTAAGATTGGGCTATTCAATTCATATATGTTAGAAGATGAGGGGAAGGTGGGTTCGTTGGAAGAATTAGGAACAGGTAGGGAGAATGTTTTAAGAATAGTGACATTTTAATCATATAACCAATGTTATTTCGAACACGGATATTCAACCAGCAGTGTATCTTTACAAGCAACTTTGTCAAAGGATACTGAAAAGAGGTCTCTGGTGAAAATCAACTAAACTGTTGTGAATCCATTCAGATTCAAGACTCATTTTTATCCTTAATCATCTCAAAGCAGACTACTTTTACAGCAACATAAAACTTAATTTCAGTTTTTTTAAAGTACATGCCAGTGTTTAGGGTGAGGCCAGTTTAAGAATCAGTTTGCCTCCCAGTCACCTCCTTGGAGCAGGTTCATGTTAATAGTAAGACTGGATTATATCAAGGAGTGGTCTCCTTCCCCAAAACACATTTTTGTCCCCTGCAGTCCCCTTCCTTAAGCAGAAAACTGGCTTTCTCTGTGCCAAGGGAAGCTCCAAGCAATCATTCTCTACCTTTGTCTGCATAAAGAATAGGGCACAGTTTAAGGAGGGCGGGGGTCGTTTCAGGCAGGCCAGGTACATTTGGCCCACAGAGAACAAGTTTCCTGGTTCCCAGTTTCTCTTTTAGGCAATGAGGAAGGGCTACTGAAGATGAAAGGAAAACAGAAGACACAATTTTTCTCGTTCCTGTGGAATCAACTACACACAACACTATTCTATTAAGAAGTCTGGCCTCTTTTGCATCTGGCTTCTTCCTGCCTTTCTGCTTCTTTTAAATAAAGAAGCTTCACATGCAATAAAATAAATGGTAGTGAAGTCAGTTTAGATCCCCAGTAACTCATTTGTCAATATTCTCATTCAGAATCTGACCATCATTAGGCTAATCATAGACAAGGTCTTTTTCCAAAGTGATCATAGAATATTGCCATAATAGACTGGTGATTGCTGATCTCTCTGTGAGACTGGAGAGAGGTCTAATTATTACTCAAATGCCTTAAATACCAGAAATATTTCAATAAGCTGAGGAAGAAAGAGAGAGAAGAATTATGTTTCATATTCTGGAGATAGCAAGTTACTGAAAAATCAAAACATAACAGCTAGTTTATATGCATAATGGATAACACTGGTGAATATATGAACTGTACACATACATTGACAGCAATAAATAAAATAAAACAAAAGGAAAGGATGATACATGAAGAATAAAATTTAGAACATGAAAAATATTAAGTGAAAAGTATTTTTCAATTCTATACTTTGTTCAAATGCCAGGCTGAAAAACTGAAAGATTCTCTTGCCTGTGTGCTCTGCTTGTTGGCTTCCCAAGGCATCAGAAAGTTAAACTAGATAGATCCTTGGTCTCATTCAGCTGGACTCTTGTATACTTATGCAACAGGATTAGCACTAGAATAAACAATCCTCCCTCAGACCGTTCCCACAGGAGGGGTGAGTGAGTTGGAAGCTCCCATGGAAAATTATGTAAGGGAGAGGCCATTGTTTTTTATTAATAACAGAAGGACTGCATTGAACAGAGGAAGGTGATGGGTTTGGCCATCTTATATGTGAAAGCCAGTGTCAAAAGGATATGAGCACAGGGTTGGGGGAGGAGGGTTACATAAAGCTGTTAGCTTTTGATTCATATACACAGCAATTATTAACTATATTTCTCTTTCCCATCAGGTCCTTTCATTAACAGAAGGCATGCCAACATTTTTATGAGACCCCCAGCAGAGAACAGGAGGAACCCATATTGGCAGGAAAGGTATGCTTTCTTAGGATTCAGGATTATTCAGAACAAATGGGGAAGTTCACCATCCTAGCGTCTTCCAAAAGGCCCCAACTTTTACCATCTGAATCAATTATGGGAGTTGAACTCAAAATTATCTGAAACATAATAGATTGTTTAAGACTTGCTTTGAGGAAAAACTTCTTTTTCTCAAAGATTGCTGACTTTCATTTGCAACGTCATGGATAGAAAGAGAGATCATTGCCTGAGAACCATTAGTCTAAAGTGTTTCTCAAGTTACATTAACTGAAAGAAACAAAGAACTCTAATATATATGGAAATGAGTGTGAAAAATGGAATATGTGGGTAAACTGGGAAAAATATCCAGAAAGGTTTACTTTTGATACACATCAATACTTTTGATACATATCCTGTGCATAGCTGAGAACCACTAATGAGCAAAGGTACAATGTTGGGGAGTCGCAGG